ACTAACGTTAAAGTTAATAGCTAAAGTAGGGTTAAGGCTTAGTAATTTTATGATTGCATTGTAAGGAAAGCTGCGAACAGCAGCGCAACATTGAAATTTGAATTCAAAGAACCAACTGTGGGTTTTCTTTTGATTCTTCAAGAACAAACCGTAGTTCTTATCCTTGCATGATAGAACCGAATTTCCTTAGATATTAGGCTTGTGAGTTCTACAAGATTACTACAATTTGCGCGCAAGTAATTTCAGAGTTGTTTTTCAGAGTAATTTGAAGGTTAAGATTTTCGATTTCGTTTTCTAGAAATTTCCTTGTTTTTCTCTCTTCAAGAGTACTTGGGGGTTGATAAGGGATTGCACGGGTTACTTCCGGTGATTGCATCTTTTCCGCTAGATTTCCTTGTTAGATTGCGAGAGCGTACTTTGTTGAATTAGCCTAGGGTCGGCATTATCTGGTTTGCAGAGGCATTGTGGTTGTGGATTTCAGTCTAATCCCTAGGGTTAGGGACTTAAAAAAAAAAAAAAAAAAAAAAACAAAAAAAAAACGAAAAGAAAGGAATTTTTGTTTATATTTTGCTTGCAATGTCGCATTGAGAAAAAAAAAAAAAAAAGAATTGTTAGTTCGTTTGACCTTGAGAGATTATATCCTAGAAACTAGTGGTGCTTGTATGAAGAGCTTGAGAATTGGAGCTTGGTGGACGAAACTGAAATTGTCGCCTGAAGTGAAGTTGAATAACCTAGGGCACTGCTGATAGTTACATTTGTCCTTTGGAATTTTTCCTGGTGAAATACTAGCTTTTGATAATTAGATTGAATTATCCAGTAGTTGAATTTTACTTTGGTAGTGAATTACGTTCGTGGCATCTTGTCCAAATTGTCTATTTGTTGATTCTCACGTAATCTATTTTTGTAATTTTGTGTTCACAGTGTAGAGCTTAGTAGTTAGGAAATTTTGGACCTGCACGTCCAAAGAAGCACGCCGAGAAGCAACGCCCGTCGCGGCCTGGCCCGTGCTCGCCTCTGGAAGTCCAGGGCGATTCTGTGCTGGGAGAAAGCACGCCCCGTCTACCCAATCTCTTAATGCAGCCCGTGCTTGCATTCGTGGAAGTCCAAGCACGCGCGTTGCCAACATTAGCACACCCCCGTTGCTTGCCTCTGGAAGTCCAAAACTTGCCCGTTGCGTTCCAGCACGCCCGTGCTTTGCCTCTTTTCATTGCTAAAGTGTTATCTTGCTTGTTATCCTGGGTCACTTTAGTTTTTAACTTCCAGCCAATACACCTTCTTGTTTCTTGTGTTGCCATTCAAACGGTTGTGTGAATTCTTGTTAGAGTTTGTGCATTACTTGATTAATATTCTTTGCTTTCTACTTTTCTCTTGACTTTTGTAGGCAACTTTGGGAGATTCGTGAAGTGCAATTATTCAAGTGGAAAGAGTGATAAAAACTGGAGTGAACGCCACATATTGGTGAAAAAGCCATAAGAGAGAACACGTGAGGCGAGTTGATTCAACTAACATTCCTTTAGTTTCTTGGTGTTTGTTATTGCTATTTCAGGATGTCTGATTCTCTAAGAGAATAGATGCGCCCTCTCAAGTTGAAGATCCAAGACTACAAGCCTTTCTTTAGATGCTTTTCTGGAG